TTATTCCAGTTTTTTTTTTCTTGAGATAGATGTGAAGTGACGCGCGTTTAACATTATATTTTTGCCACTCAGAAGCCATATAAGTATTTCATTATTTGATTTAGCGTGGTCCATTTTGCTTTCATATATGTAGGTAGGCAAATGCAAATTTTTAAAATTAAAGACTTCAGTTGTACTTGCAATTCTCATTAATAAGTGAATTAATTTCATTCACATCTTAAGGAGCAGACATGAAGGTGAACCTTCTTTCCATGTCATTTTGTTACCATATAATTGCACTACATTGAGCCAGACGATGTAATTTCCCCAATGAATTAGGGGTTGAAACTTTTGTCTTTTTCCTTGTTACTGCCAGACAACGGGCTCCAAAGCCCCACAAGTAATAAACTATTGCAATGGAACGAGAGGCAGATATTAGGTGCTGATGTTGTAATGGCCTTTCACCGAAGCTAGGGGAAGGAGGGTTGTATACATCATGTCGGGAACATTTTCACACTGAATATCATGTTTATCCAAGTTTCAACGTCTTCATCGTAAATGAAATTGAAAAATCAATATGAAAGATTTCCGTGGAAGCGGATTCTTTAAAATCAAGTTTTCTGTTTGTGTGCAAGTGATGGGAAAACACGTTTTCATGAGACTCAAGACGACTTTGCTGATTTCGTCTCCCAAGCACATTCGATACTCTTGCATCACCGATTAGTTCATGTGCTATTAGCGTTAGCATATAGTACAGACACCAATGATTCTGAAACAGTACGGACCATTTCCAAGAACTTGTTCGAAGGCACAAAGGGAATTTAGTACATGTGCGGCACAATGCTAGCGACTAATTCCAGAAAATGCCTCGCCACCACATTACCCGTACACCAATGATTCTGAAACAGTACGGACCATTTCCAAGAACTTGTTCGAAGGCACAATGGGAATTTAGTACATGTGCGGCACAATGCTAGCGACTAATTCCAGAAAATGTCTCGCCACCACATTATCCTGAGGCTCTGAAAGTGTTGCTCACTGGTGCTAAAGTGTGAGTTGTAGCAGGAGCATTTTTCCGTTGTGAAACAAATGCCTCCTCCCTGAACCAAAATGTACAGCTTGTCAAAAAAAAAGTCAAACTCGCGTCATGATCCAACACTGGTCTCAAATAAAGAGAGCATTCTGCACTAACTCGTAGCTTTTGTTTTCTGCAGACAGGAACTTTGTTGCTGCGTGCTGCTTCTTACAGGAAGTTAATTTAATCGCTAGCACCACCTTAGAACGAGTGATTCGCCTGCACATAGTGAACAGTTCAGGCAGCGGTAACAGTAGCACTTCAGCCAATCGCATATTCCAGGCAATGATATGACATGATGTATTTACCCGAATTTCAAATTCTGCATGAAATGCCAGGGAAATGTCGTCTTCATTTGTTAAGTCCTTGCTCATTAGTGCGTGTGTTCTTCCAACTGAAAACCGGAATATATTGATACTTTTGTCGCAGCTCCCCGAACGTGTCAGACGTTGGCAGACCTGGAGGTGACACGAACTGGAGAATACTTCGTGGATCCTGACGGAGCTCTTGTTGGTGATCCACCCATAAAAGTTCTCTGTGACATGGAAACAGGTCAGCAAGGCAAAATAAATCCTACCAGAATAAGCTTGACGGATTATACTTTATGATATGCTCGTATTAATGGACACTACGATTTTTAATATCTAGCATCCACAATTATTCCACATGATTCCATGAATAAATGATACGGTGGTGGTTCGTTGTGCTTCTCCTGGCTGCTATAGTCGAAATGTTACCTACGAAGCATCGCTCAAGCAGATGGTTGCATTGATCGATCAGTCACTTTCTTGCCACCAAGGAATCAAAGTAAGATCAATTTTACAAAGTATTTCTTTACTTCCATAAAAAAAATTTTTCTTTTAAATTTTTTTGTAATACTTCAGATATCATGGTTTTTGATGGAGGTTTTAGTCTAATTATAATTGATTTTCCATTGTAATAGCAAGAAGAGTCCCAACTTATCAAAGTATTTTTCGTTTCAGTACGACTGCATTTCGGCTTCTCTGACTACTGGAGCCGTACATTACGCATGGTGGGTGGATCGCCACGGCCAGCCTCAGTTCTACTAGCATGGATCAAATGCAGGAGAACACGTTTGCAAATGTGGACTCACCCAAGACTGCGTTGACCCGAACCTGCCTTGCATTTGCGATGCCAAAGCACCCCTGCCGAAATCGGATTCGGGAGCAGTAACTAATACAACAGCACTCCCTCTAGTGGAGATTCGTTTTGGAGGGCTGCAGTTTGAGCGTCAGGAAGCAAGTTACTCTCTAGGAGGATTGGCTTGTAGCGGTCGGGCACCACGAGCGAAGAATCCAACCGAATCATGTTCATCACTTCGCCACGCTGGAAACATTCACACGGGCTACTACCTAACTAGCAGGAAAGAAGGACGATTGGATGTCACTCTTTGTCGGATGAATTTAGAAGAGGGTGATCCGGAGTTCCAGGTGGAGATAGGTGCTCGTGTTGCAGTCAAAAACATTTATTTCGATGCGTTTAGAACAAGCGACTATAGCACAGAAGGCACAATACCTTTCGATGGGACAGAGGTTAACATTGGCAATGCAATTGAACCGAAGAAAGGAATTTTCATCGCACCCGTCGATGGGATCTATTCTTTCCATTTTCATTGCTGGACTAGCATAAATACTAGGATACGCTTCAGGCAACGTGGTGACTGCTTCCGTGCTGGCTAAAACAGGCAGTTCTGGTGCAATGTTCACGCCAGGCCAATCCGTCCTATTCTACTTGAAAATGGGCGACAAGGTTGACACATTCTTAGAAAGGGGATCAGTACGGTCAGACAGTTGACGTCATGCTCACTTCGTGGGGTACTTGTTATATCCGATGTAAAACGAAGAACGGAAAACTCATATTTCGCTTTCTTGAAATGTCTATTTAACTGGGTAATCTTTACTCTCTCTCTGTTCATCTCTCTCACCCTTGGCTTAATTTTCTCATCATTTTTTTGTCATGAATCGCAAATAGTTTTCCAGGCCTCACGTCGCGCTATTCAACGTCCTGTAGATCACAGAAGTAAGAAAAGCTAAAACCTGCAATCTTCCGCTTTCCCAATTGAAGAATCAAACATTTGAGCGTCATTGGAGGTTCCTGATGACGGAAGGGCATATACTGTATAACATAGGTACATGCTTCATACTTATACATTATGCATATACATGTACATTATACAACATAGTTATCGGGGTGGGAAGTCTCGTAATCACGACTCCCGGCAGAATGTCAATTGCCTCATGTTATATGAACGTCGGGAATTTGAGTATCATAATTTGACCATCAGAAAACAAGAGAAAAGGATGAATCACAAGATTACCATGAATAATGAGAATTCTACTTATGAAAAGTCAGAAGATTCACCAGGAAGTGGCCCTAAGAGACTTTTATTCGTGAAAGACCAGAGATAAGACGATATTGACTCACAGACATGGAGACATAATTGAGACCTACTTCATGTAATTGGTCATTTCTTGAGTAATAGGCCAGGAATACAGACCGGAGATCTGTCGGATGATTGAAGGATTCATGGATATGCGATCACAGGTCAAAAAGAAACACTCTCATAGAACGACAAATTACTCATTTATCCCGCTTTTGTGGTGAATGTATCTTCAGAAAATAAACATTCTCAGCATCTTACTCTCTCAACGTCAATGCATTTTGCAAAAAAGAAAAAATCCTATAATCATTCAGCCGCTTCAGTGGGTCCATCCCCGTCCTTCAAGCATGTACGCAACACAGCTTCTCTATCTTTCGTCGTAGGAATTCGCAAATGATCTTCCGCTTCACCGTGATGATCAAACTTCAGGAATATTAGAAAACTAATATATATTCTTCAATGATGATTCTAAATGTATCGATTTATTAGTAAAATATCCTCATTTTCCCCTAAAAAATGTGATTGGATATGGCAGGTAGAATTAGCGCAGGAGCGCTTCTTTATCTATACTTAATTAATGGCACATTGCAACATTAAGTCCCAAAGAGAAGAAATAATGGATTTTAAGTTTTTTTGTATCTGAGGATCTGACCTGAGTGTTCGACTTGAAGCTTTGAAGCTCCTCACGACTAGAAGATAGCACATCAGGCTCGACCTCAGCCCTGACCCTAGCCTGACGGGATCTCCTCGCAGGACTGTATGAGTTAGAAGTGACTTTCTTCGTTACCTCTATTGAAGCCTTCCATAATGACTTCAAAAATTCACCGGCTTTACCTTTCTCACCCAATCTTACTGCAATTGGTAGTAGTAGGATATTGGAACCGCATGGACACCAAAGACACTACCAGAATCGAACCCTTCTCGGAGTTCCAAGTCGGAAGCGATGAACTAAAAACAGGAAATGGAGACCTTTAGCATAAAGGTATCACAGACGACGCTATGGACCAATGGAATTTGCCCCAGAGCGTCAAATTTAGGGGGAAATGCAACAGTCCAGAGGGCGTGGATCCCATGAAGCGCAGCAAAGACTCCAATCGAGAGCAGCGACTGTGGCGATAGAACTGGTGCCTTCGATTGTGATAAAAGGTCAGAAATCCCGGAAGGTAGAGTTAACGTGAACTACAGAGGTTGAGGGTAATTATTTTGCGTCCCTTAAATGCCAGCGGCCCTTAAATCGCTTGAACTTTCCACGATGGGACATGAAGGACGGCATCGAAAATTTCGAATGTGGAAAATAGTCGGAAGAGTAATAAAATGGTACTGTTTCCAAAACCTGCTCGAGATCTGACCGAAGGAGATGCTACACACTGGAAGGTAAGACAAAAACGAATTTGGTTATTGATAGCCCCAGGAGCTAAAGAACTTGGCTAAAGTATGCATTAATTTCAAATTTTTCCTGAAGACATCAGCACGTACTCCTTCGGACATTGAAAGGTAATGAATTCAAGACGTCTCAATTAAGAACCGTACACATTTTCAAAATCACTCTTATATTACCAGATAGCGAAAAATAATGTTCGTACAAAAAGCAAAAGCCAAATGTTTCCAGAATGCTAAAAAAAAGCAAGAAAAAGAAAAAAGGACTGGGAAAAAGGGACCTTTTCCAAGGCGGAAGGGTTGGGTAAACATGGTCAGGGTTCAGTTTCTAGCACTTCCAAGAATATAAAGGAACACGAGAATAATGTCGAGGTAGAGCATGAGAGCTCCAAATATATGCTCCTCGGGATTCAACTCGTGCTTCCGACCTCCCAAAATTAGCTGGGTGTCATACGCCAGATACTACAGGGGAAAAAAATCGTGACATCAGTATCATCCCATCAGCTTAAGGAAAAAGCATTCTTCATGGTTACAATAATTTTTGATGAAAATACGAATATCCTCGCTCGACAGTCCGACATCCTCACTCCTGTCCTCCCGTCACATTAACGTATTGTACAATATAAGATGCCTCAAAACATGCAGTTCCATTTAATACACGGTGTTAAAAAAACCATATTCGCTAGTAATACAATACTTATACACCAGATCAATGCTATTTTTTAAATACTGCATATGAATAAAGAAGGGAAGTGCCTAATTTACAGAAAATTGTCAAATTTTATCACGTTCCATGCGAGTTCGTAACTTGATAGGTAAAAAAGTGCGCCGTACATGCCTGCTGATGTGTTTGCGTCATCAAGTGAAACAAAGGAAAGTTGGTGCATGCCTTACCATAGAGGCAGAGGTCGTATTGCTTTCGTCACCTGTTTTGATGACGACATTTTCTGACCAATTCCAAAAAAGAATTTATAGCTGGTATCTGACAAACATATCGTTATCAAATGAGGAGACGAAGGGAAAGCACCACTCCCTCTGCCTTATAGACAATTTGGAAAGACACTCACAGACTTCCGTTCACTTCACTGACTGAAGCGAACGCAACTGCGGGCTTGTACGGCACCCTTTTTTACCTATTAAGTTTGGCCTGGTATAGAATGTGATATTGAGGATCAATATTCCTAAAATTAAGTACTTCCCTTCATTACTCTATTAACGTGTCGTCTTTAAAACATTGTGCCGAACTATTAAAATTGCTGACGTTATTAGCGAAATTGATTTTGCATTTTCTTTATTAAAACATCGTGTAGAATTGTCGTTCCCTTCTACACAATTTAGGAATATCATTTATTTTCATTCAAACCATCGGAAGTCTCTAACTGGGTGTGAATCACACTTGTAACCCCTTTTCGTCCGAAGAAAATGAATTGGAAGGTCGCAAGCTTTGTTTCATAACTATTCATGAAATCCGTGTATTAAATGAGAGAAAGAAAAAGATGCAGGGGACTCGAGACTCATGTTTCGATACTCACCATCGTGAAGAGTAGCGCAGAGAGACCGGAATAACAGACATATGGGATTCGTCCTGATTCTGGGTCGGTTACATATATTGTGATTGCAGCTACACCGAACGCTAAAATAACTAGTGAAAACATGTAGAGGCAAAGGCAGCCCCCTGTCACGTCCCACTGCAAAAAACGGAGTATTTTCAGTTACAGTTAGCATTTCTTTTGCACCGAAAATAGCTCCATAAATAGCTTTTGAATGTGCAATTTTCCTTTAGGAAGCAGGGTCGTACCTTGGTAGCAGCGGCGAAGATGGAAACTAATATGGTTACTCCAGCCGTGATTCCAAATGCCATAAGCACAATCTCGGTTTTGTGGAATGCCGAGATTGTAGCCGCCATAAATGCTAATGCCCCCGTCTGAAATCCGACAAAGGCCCATCATTATAATTTGCGTCCACATGAATCCTTGACGATATAGTGATCAATCCATTTTGGTTCTTTTTAGGAAGGTGAAACTCAAAAGCTATGTTAGACGTGAAGAAATAAAAATAATCTACAGTTGGCCCATTTAAATCGTAATTGTTGCCATGTTGTATGAAGAAACGGGCAATAAATTCCTCACGCAAAGGTTCTCCTCAAAAACACAGCCAAACAGTTGTTCTGGGAAAGGGATGAAGGAATTGGATTTTTTTTGGAAGTGTCGCTGCAATTCAGGGAGGATTTTACGAAAAATAATTTTAAAAATGTTCCTATGCGCTTTGTGTATGCTAGTTTTAGACTTATTGGAATTTGTGATTTGAAAAATATTTCTTCGCTGCAAACAATATACTTAGATTCAAACGTAATTTTCATATCAAAATACATTTTTAACTCTATTGCCCACAAACCAGGTTCATTTTCCATGCAACAGGATGGATTATCTGATTCAGTAATCAGCGAAAAAATCCGAAATACTGTAATTCCTTCCTTCCAAATAATGATAATTAACATTTCCAATGATATTTATTAATAGGACATCATTGTAGATGAATAAAGCTGCTGCACATATTTCATGCCCATATTTTTCTATTCGGACTACGCACGTTCATAATTGTTGACAAAAACTGGTGTCCACAAACTATGTCCATGGACGTCCAGAAACTGGGACCAGGCCACACATCCATTTAAACATCTATTGTTGAAAAATCGCCTTTTTAATATTTTATTTTATGGCATGGGCCTCAAATTATGATTCGTTGCCTACCATTGAAACCAATCATGCGGTTTCTCGGTCGCAGCAAAGACTGTACTTCAATTCTCCAGAGGAAAATGTCCTTAACCCGTCCACAAACTGGTGCCTTTACCCTATTTTGTTTCCACACGGACGTTCTTGCATGCACCATTGTTCTCCAACTGAAAACATTTTCTTATGTATATAATCAGTGACGGGTTTCCTCTTCCTAGAAATTAATCTAGTTTCAATAGAAATGAAAACTTATGTTCGTGCATAAGATCATCGACAAGCTTAGCGCTTTCCAAGACAAAAAAGCGCGGATGGGACGAAAATGTTTGATCCATACGTTCACGAGAAATTTATCATTAAAGGTTGCAAGCCGAAAATTTATTGGGGCAGGAGGGAGAGGCAACATGCCTTGTAGACCTTTGAAAGTTATTCTCTGGTCCACTTAAGAATTTTCCTTGTTTCGATCAGATAGCAGCGAATGCGAGAGGTTGGGCTCTGCATGCACGTTCAAAGGAGAAAATTTTTGATGATTTATGACTCACTCGAGCCATGGTTGAGATATCTAAACAGAGTTGGGCAAAAGTTCTCGAACACTTTGAATATCTAATTTTTTCACTAATCAACGGATTTTTAGCAATTCTGATGTGTTTTTTTTAATACTACGGACATTTTTGATACGAAATGTTTTTTCATCGTAGTAAATTGCAGTCTAAATGTGACATTTTTTCTCTGGAGCTACGACGCCTAAAGAGAATCGAAGCGCTAATCAAAGTGTACGGGAACTTTTGCATGACCCTGCATTGATAAGTAGAGGGGAAATTATGAAAGGTGCTTCGCAATTATTGTTCCTTTCATGGTAAGAAACATGCAAGGTATTGTGATCTACATGCTTGATTTTTCCTAGCTAGGTAAGGGTATAATAGCCGCAACGGATATATTTTAGTATGTACGTAAACGCATACTGAAATCATGCAGTGCAAAGAGCAAACACTACCAACTCTAATCCATGGCTGAGAGATCAAAGATCCACAGAACTTACGAAAATAGCGAGGGCAAACACATTCGCTGGGTATTTCCGCCTCAAGCTTGAGAAGCAGACCAGGACGAGAAGTGTGACGAAGAATATACCGCTGTGACAATGTAGAAGACAATGTAGAAGAGAAAGGTGAGAGGGAGAGAGAGAGACGGACGCCTCGCAATGATTCTTGAAAGATTTGAGGTAATTTTTAGGAAACACTTTGAGAACTCACTATGCAGTCCAATACATCCACATGTTTTCAAAGATGAAGGTCTTAATCCCATCACTGTAATAGAAAGGATAGCATAAAAGATTTCATTAGAAACATATTGATGTGACGTAAAGAACATGCAGAGAATTGGGTTTTACATGGAATGCGCGAGGTGGATTCCTGAAAACGAACAAATATTCAGTGATTCGAGATGAAAGAGGTTCATGATTCTCACAATTCTTTCATAGTCATCCTCTTCCACTTCATGAAGCCCGAAAATACAACAAATAACTCATTGACTAAATACCTTTTCTGCTCAAGCCTTAAATTAATCCTGAACTAAAACAAGACATTCCACGGCATGCCTGTCAAAAGACCGAAGCACTTGCTGTGGCACTATGTACTGGGCAGTTCCAGAGAAATTGGGACAAAAGTGGTAAAAAATACATTTATTATCCAGCTCATGTTTGCCTGCATTGTATGTGTAGTACATTCGTTCAAATAAGCTCCATCTAACATTGATCACCTAAAGCGGTATAGTTTTCCAATTACTTCATTCCATTTGAATGGATTTTACATTGGTGAATCTCTCTTTTTAACTTACATATTACGTCAGTAACGCTGGGAAATTCTCCATGCCAATTCATTTTTGAGCTACAAAAAGTCATTTGGCATGAATAATGCTCTATGTCTTCTTTTCTGAAGATATGAAAGCTTCAGGTCAAACAAAATCGGACAAAATTGAAAGAGAAGCAGCAGAACGAAAACCGTTGTCTAAAGTGCGACGTCAGTAACACGAATTGAATGGCCTTCCTTTTTTTCATCCATCGGAGAAATGACAAAATTTTCACCGGAAAAGGTACAGGTTGCTTTTCTCTATGAGGTACTGTTGAAACAGAATTTCTGTACCAACCCATCTTTGAGATATAACATAATACATGCTTTCATTTTGAGTCTGGTGTTACGTCAGTAACTTTGGAACTGACCTACTCCATAACTCGCATTGTTATTAGCGAATAAGAGAGTAATGATTAAAGAATGTACGTCTAACGCCAGGAAATTCATTGACTGCACTCTCTAGTGCAATAATGCGTATTTCCCGATACTACTTCTACGAGAAAAAAAAGTATTGCCTAACACTCAAGATTTTTGCCTTATGGTCAGTATTTCCGAAAATGGCTGAAGCAGCCTTAGCTCTTCCCATTCATTAAATTCAAGAATCAATGGCACTCCCTTGATTCTCATATCACAACCCTGAAGCTATAAAGAAGTTTTACCTGAAAACGAAGAGAGCGATCAGAGCAAAGGTGAAAACCAGCTGGATGCTGAGGATACCGTAGACCCGACAGACGAATCTCTTCCGAATGCTTTTATCCGAGAAAGAAGACCCGAAGCCAATTTCTTCCACCTTCGCCTCCTCTACGTCGCCTTCGAGCCCTACAACGGGAGCTCGGCCTTCCGACGCTTCCTCCTTCCGTGCATTCGACTAAAATCAACATTGCGAAATATATCCAAGGATTTCGTTTTTGCTATTGAATGAGGTAAGAAGTTTCTTGCTTCAAAGTTAATTGAAGAATTGTCACTTTGAAAATGTTCGTTATAGGTGAAATGCCGAGTTTTTCCAGCTGATGGAGTATTATTCCTCCTATTATTCTTTAGAGTATTATTCCTCCATAAATATTTCATCGCATCACATATATTAGGTTGTTCCGAAATAAATGTCCGATTTTCGAAATGTAATGTTTTGTCTATCATTATACGTCAATTTTGCGATAACCAGTTAATTGTTATATACCTTTTTTTTCAGCAAACCTTTCTCTATGTAAGCCACTTAGTTGCTTTTTATTTATCTTCAGCGTAACGTTCCTGTAGCTGCCAAAGCAAACGATGGAGAAACGCAACTTTCGTCCGATTTTTCTTTACGAGTTCAAACTTGGAACTAATGCTGCCGAAACGGCGAATAAAATCAACACTGCGTTCGGCCAAGGATCGGTCACGGATCGCACCATTCGACGCTGGTTCGAAAAGTTTCGTAACGGAGATGAGACTCTCGAAGAACAGGAAGGTAGAGGTCGGAAAGAGTCTCTTGACGACGCCGTTCTGAAGACTATGGTGGAACGTGATCCCCATGTAACGGTCCGAGAGCTTGCGGAAGAATTGTCTGTTGGCATCGCAACCGTTTCCCGTCATCTGAACGACATTGGAAAGACGAAGAAGATGGACAAATGGGTTCCGCACGAACTCACCGCGAGTAATCGCACTCGCCGATACGAGATCAGCTCCGCATTGCTTCTACGCAACACAAACGACCCTTTTCTCGACCGTATTGTTACGTGCGACGAAAAGTGGCTCCTGTACGACAATCGTAAACGATCGGCGCAGTGGCTGGACCGAGATGAGCCTCCCAAGCACTTCCCAAAGCCAAGCGCTCACCCGAAGAAGACTATGGTCACTGTATGGTGGACTTCAACAGGAGTGGTGCACTACCACTTTCTGAAACCTGGTGAAACGATCACAGCGGAGAAGTACTGTGACGAACTGGACACGATGCACGAGAAACTTCGCAAACTTCAGCCTGCATCGGTCGACCGAAGGGGGCCGATTCTGCTGCACGACAACGCCCGACCGCATGTCGCACATCTCACCGTACGCAAACTGAATCAGCTGGGCTACGAAACTCTGCCTCATCCACCATACTCCCCAGACATATCACCTACGGATTACCACTTTCTCAAACACCTGGATCACTTCGTCGAGGAGAAACACTTCCATGATCAGACCTCTGCCGAAGATGCCTTTAAGGATTTCATCGCCTCCAGAACCCAGGATTTCTACTCGACTGGGATCAACAAGCTTGTATCTCGTTGGCAGAAGTGTGTTGAACCGGATGGTGCTTACTTCGATTAAAAATGTTCATTATCAGCTGAGTTACGACCCTTCAAAGTTTGCGATCGAATTCGGACATTTATTTTGGAACAGCCTAATTGAAGGGGAGGTGCTACTGCAATAATAAGTTTCAAAATAATCATACAAGGGTTATTCGGAAAATTGCGTGACTGCCCCTGCAGATGGCCAGGCCCAGACATGACCAAACACGTAAATAATGCGTTAGTACTTATTTTTTCCGTCTAAAGACGTTTGCGGGATACCCACAGATCGCAGAGGAATAACTCCCATTATAGCGCATGATATACGTTTAGGTATTGTAACTACGTACGAGATATCTAGAGCCATTTAAAAACAGGGTTTTGTTCTCTTGGGTGCCTGCAATATAAATACAGACAACTAAGATACTCCGGAAACGTTTATAGCGGTCGATATTGGAGACTAATGAGGTGGTACGAGGTGCTGGAAATACACAGCTTCAAAGATTCAAAGACATAATTCATATAGCAAGTAACGTGATTCAACTTAAAATGAGCTGTAAAAGAGGGAACCATTTTCAAAAAGTTCAATTCATGATTTCCTTCGCTTGAATAGTTCGAAGAGTTTCTCGCATGGTCTTTGATACAGATGTTTTTCATGTATCCTATCGCCTAAGCGAAGAAGATTTTTCACTTTCAACCTGCCGGTCGAAAGTGAAAATCTTACAGTCGGTTCCGTGGGGAATGGAGCCATCCATCCGTGTGGCTGCGGCTGCTGATTGTGAGAGATGGTCGCCGGATGCTCCACAGCAATTGTGAACTCGTCGCTTGGTCTGAGTGGGCATTCCGCCGAGTTTGGGAGTCCAGTCAAGTCGGTGCTGCGTCCGATGCTTTCTCGGTTTATCTCCGATTGTTGCTTTTCAATTTCCGACGTAATCCTAAATGAATTCCTTGCCACATCTTCGCCTTTCCGCTGCTCCGTATTTCCTGTAGAAAACTCAAGGCAGAGGACAATTACATTATCTTAGGAGCTTTAGCAAACCGCCCAATAGAACATAGAAAAAATGACGAAAAAAAGGGCATTGAAGGACGACATCTACCAATGAAAAAGAAAGTTTGATTATTCATTGAAGCTCAACGGAAAACGGAAGGTCGCAGGCAACTTCTTCCGTCAGTTCGACACTCACCCTTTGCCAATCTTGCATCAACAATGCATTTAAGCCTCTCATGTTTCCCAGCATTTTGAACGGAAGCCGAAATCAAACCGGACCACTTGTTTATTTTCCCGAGAAGCAATGCCAGAAATCACCGGAAAATCATTTCCCGATATCCAATCCAGTCGATTTATTTCAATCCGACCTGCAACACTTACCGCTTCATCACGTTCAGGTCCCTCGTACTTCTAGGCAGATGGGATGGCTTGGTGCGATGCAGGCCAGTGTTGTTTACCTGCGATTGACGGTTGACGTACGTTTGCCACGTAAGAAATTTGAAGGTTCTACATTCTGAAGGGACTATAGACGTAGTGGTCAAATTTATTTCCTGCGTCAAGATCGACCGTCCCAGTAACATAAAACAGTCAAGCTACTCTAAAAAAAAAAAATTAATTTTCCTTGGGTTACGTCTTGGTCGTCCACTGTTTGCTCCACATAATGCCTGGACCATTTTCGTCATTATAATTCCCCAAATATATTTTTTGCTCTTGAAAGCATCTAATCCCCTAGGGCAGCGGTTCCCAAACGGTGGGTCGCGACCCACCGGATGCATGACGAAGGAAAATGCGAGGAAATTGAGGTTTTGGAAACCACTGCCCTAGGGTCAGTTACGGGAAGGCATTAAACGGCGCAATCAATCCGTACACTACCCTTCAGGTAAAGGAGTTCTGTCGCGACTCGATGCAATGTTGGGGATTTCGCGAATCGACTTGATTTTCTCTTGCTTTCTTATTACCATTGAAACCTACTATACTCCATCGATTCCCTTTAATTATCCTGAAACCGAAGATGAGGAGTCCCTTCTCCCAACACTTTTGAACGGCCCCCACGCCTGAATCCTCTCGAACCGATTAATTCTCATTGATATGATAACTTCAAAAATTGAAGGAAATTGTCAAAATCGGGTCTTTCAAGTGCCGCACGACCACTCGAATAAAGTGAAAGCACTTCCCGATTTGTAACGACATATGAAGCCCGGAATCCTACTGGATTTCGGTACCATCGTTTGCGGGTGATCTTTATGAAGGGAAAATCCAGGAACGAGTGTCCACGCTAAGGTGATTAGGGAATGCAATAGAGAGGATGGAGAAAAAGATTGTTCGGGTTTTATACGAAAGTGAACGAGGTTCATTACTCCTTCAGTACTGTCACCTTCTATTACCGGTGTGAGGGGGTACTATATTCCAATTGACATCTGTTGTAAGAGGTAGAGTTCTTCCAATTATCATAGGTCTGGCAGATCCCATTTGTATGTTCTGAAGAGGACATATCTTTGAATAAAATAATGCGTATTGATGCACGAATGACGTATAAAAGTACCCATAGAAAAAAATACGGAGGCGGTGTAATTATTATAAACGGTAAGAAACATGCTATTTCCGCTGAAGTCACAGAAGGTGTAATCTCAAATTGTGAGAAAGGAGGCGAGGAAAGGGAGAACCCCCCCCCCCAATTTAACACGAAAATGGGTTTATAATGTGTAAAACATGCCCACTGTTAGAGTGGACGATAGGATGACTGGCAGAATGACGGGATGACGCTATTTGACATGAGTGAAGCATTTTTGTCATAGTGCATCAGGAAAGATAAGAATTGACCGTATTCATTTAACGAAGCTGTTGATAGTGGGGAATATTTCGAGAAAGTGCAAGTTATATGCGTTCACTTTTCATAAGGAAATTTTGAATTTTTCCCTCCATGCATTCACCGGCGGAGCCCAAGCACATGCAACCTATCCGAGAAAGGGATCATGTATGTATGCTAATGTAATTGCTATGAAATGTGGAACGGAAATCAGTGAATGAACCTTAGCACGAGGAGACTAATTTTCTTCTAGCAGGATATCCCCTTTAGAAGATTCGTCATTCGTCTCTTCGACGAATCTCCGTACCAGTGTATCGCTAGGGCATGTGCTCTCTAACCCACTTCCTCTTCACTCTGATAAGTCGCAAGTCAAAGGAAGTGGAAGACACAAGTTCTTATGCACGGATTTCCTCTTGACTTGCGCTTGTTTGGACTTGCTGCTAACAAACAATCTCGGGTTCTATTAATATTAATATAACCGTGGAAGTGTCAGATCTACTCATTGTTCTGTTTCTCATGATTACATTTTAAATGCCTCATGAAATGCTAACTAGTACCAAATCACAATATCTCTAAAACTGCAAGATGGATTCCAAAATCCCAAGGTTACTCCACGGAGATGGCAGTTGCTGTTACACGGAGTTGCTGCTACAAATTTGCAAGCAGATATAGAAAAATTGAGCGCGTTAGCAGGGTAGTCTTGGCAAAATTTTACGCCGCAGATGCGCATCATTTGCATCGTTTGCTTGCTTCTCCTAAAAATAGACGACTGACGGAAAAAGAGGCAACTTAAAGTGAGCTCCACCCTCCTCGGCCCCATCGACTTCCTAGAACTTCTTTCACCTAAGTGGATGTCCCTTTGAGACCGGTTCAGAGGCCTCTCTTCTTTCCCCCACCACTCCATTCGGAAAAGGAAGAACAGGCAGTAATGAGTAATGGACCGATTTTTGCGGATATATTCGATAGATTCGGATGATCTCGCATACGCAAGATAGCCGCTGAAAAAGATATTATTTTCTTGTGTCATACTTCTGTTATAATGTCCATTCCGTTTCATGGCAAACATGAAGGCAAATAAGTGCAAGGACAGGACTAATAAACGGGGTCAGAATAATTCATTTGATGACGCGAAGCTTCCTAAGAATTTGACACCCGAGTGAAAATTGGGTGACGCATTTAAATTGGATTTTGACTCGCAGATTCCGATCGACAAACCTAACGAGGTTTTATCGAAAGGTTTTGCATCGAATGGCAAAGGCCCTGTCTCTCCCAAGTTGTTTCGGAAGGTTAGTATTTCTTAGTGACGCTGTTCTTTGCGAGAAGCGGAAAATTATTCATTGGTGAAACAAGGAATTCTTATTCACATCATGGTGCAGAGTTTTTTTCATGAAAACATCTTAGTTTTGAAAATGTAACGTAAACAGGAAAAACCTCTACATTTCAGTGGATTCGAAATCAAATCACACTTGGGATGACTGGCTTTTTCGGAACGTTTTCGATATTGTGATATATATTCTCTCCCTACTGCAATAAGTTGATTTCTGGATGAAAAACATGGACGAAGCACATCTCATGGACCACTTCTTATCATCTCCACGTGAGTCATGTAAGGGAAGTGGTTACAAAAAGCTTTACGTCATTTTCTTAGATAAGCAAATCCGTATTTATCTTTCACCATTTCCGGTTGCTGACTTCAGCGAATTGACTTCTGACACAAACATAGAACTCTGCAACCTTCGTTAAATGTTCCTTCAAAATAAAGTTAAATTGACGATGTGAGGGTAACGCCTCATGGGCGTCATATATATACGCGTGTGTCGTTTCCACAAGGGCTTGCGACGCACTGATGCTGTCGCAATTTCGACTTCCAAAGTTTTTCATGCATGCTTTACGAAGAAGAAAGTGAAGCAAGCGATAACTTGAGCATTACTCTTTCTCATTTTCCTTTCAAATTTCACTCTTGAAGAGCGGAAAGGAGTGAAAATCGGAGTGAATTACCTTCATTTTCATTCGAGTGAAAAAGGAACTGAAATCGAAGTTAGCGTGTCATTGTATGATTAAAACTCATTTGCCAAGATAAAATTGAACCATTATATAACTCATCCCTGATAGATTGAGCTATCCTCGCTACTGTTTGCATGACGAGACAGACAACAGCGGATTTTTCCATGTTTCAAGCATCACAATTGATGTCCCTGTCTTCATGGCATGTCAAAGGGATTTAGAGGGTCTCGCAGATCACGTGGTCTCCAGTGGACATGGCGGCAGCGCAAAGCAGGCGTTATCGATATTGGCGAAAAAGTTCGTAACTATGTCCTATATAATGCTATAGTACATATAGTGTCCTATATAGTGCTATAATGCGAGCCAGACGCCCGAGACTCTCAGACGCCCTCATAGATAAAACCACTGTTCTGCTTTTCTGCTGGGAAACTCGCCTGACCTTAAAGTGCAAGAAATGTTGTGCGATGATAGACATTTGTTATATACCTCCCTCCCATTATGGCTGTGAAAACCTGTAAAGCTTTCCTAACGCTGGTTAAGAAAGCTCTCGTTTCCTTAACATGACGCTCACTGCATGAAACCTTTGAGTGCAAGGATAACAAATGCAAGTCTCAGGAAGCGAAGTATCAGAAGAGTAACTTAATGCCGGTAGCATTGATATGCCGGGAATGAAAATACAGAAGATACGAGGAGATATATCGCATATGTAACAAGAAGAAGAAGGCTTCAAGACGAGAAACTCTAAGATGATGATGGAAAACGTCCCAATAGCAGCTTCCGACTCACCATCATGTATTAGAAAGCCGCACACCGAAGTCCAGAGACATAAAGGTTCAGGGAGACTCCCGAGGTGCAAAAAAATGATAGGAGGGAAGCGCCCAAGCCTCTGTGGCGGAACGGCCCACCACGACTGCACTGGCCGACGTCTGAGGAGAGAGAGAGGGGGAGAGAGAGGGAGAGAGATGGCTTCGAAACGTGGATCTTGCCATTTCATCATCCCAGTGGCATGGATGCCGGATTCTAAATTTTCATCGCTTTGAACCGACTCCTTTATTCGACTCGATGCTACATCGGCTACTCGATTCTCTGTGCAGAGGTTCGGAGGAATTAATAAATACATATTCTCAGAGAATCAAAATCCTCGTCAAAGAATTAGGGTTCGGTTTAAGTGAGTTGAAAGCAAAACAGTTAACCCTATATTGTACCGTCTGCTCCTGCCTCCCCAAACTTGGCTCTGGACGAGGCTTCGTCTGCTAGGTCTTGAACACACGCGAAAAGTCGTTATCTGGATTTTCTCGATCAGGATATCTGTCTACAGTATTCATTTCGGAAATGGAAATCCGTTCTTCAGATGAGTTTTAAAATACGAGTACCCCAAAAATGACTATAGATTTTACTAGAATAAAATCGGTCGTGTGGACTTGCAAGAGCGCATTGCATGAATCTTCATAAAATGGGGAAAAAACGGCACCGCCCATCACAGAGTTACGGTTTGGAGGGCAGCAATCACGCTGCAGATCAGTGAGCGAAGTACTGCTAGTACGGGATCCGGTTCTGTTCAGATGAAGGGCAAGATATGTTTGTGACAGCGTCCCGAACGTGCGATACTCTGGCGAAATTGGGGATGAGTAGGACGGGAAGCTATCATACCTCATAGATCCTCATCGGTGATCCTCCGATACAAGTACTCTGTGACAAGGAAACAGGTTGGATCGGCGAATCATGCTAAAACTCGGTTGACCGAGAGAATCTCTTTTGTCGTGTGCCATTTCTTTGAACTGCTCTTTTCCGTTATTAATATGAAGATCCAGTGTCGACCATAGTTTTGCACGATTCAATGGGCGCTACAGAGATCGGTCATTGTGCTGAGCCTCCCTGCTACAGTCGAAAAATCACTTCCGATGCATCCCTGAAGCAAATTATCTCATTGATCGACCAATCGGCGTCATGCGACCAACAAATAAGGGTGAGTTCAAACTGTCTGGTTCTTCATCATTATGTATTACTCGATGTGAAATTGTGCCGCTGCTTCTCTGTGGACATACTTCTAACTACCTCTATTACTTGTTTCAGTACGACTGCTTCTCGGCGGCTGTGAACGAAGGAGACACGCCTTACGCAGAGACCGATCCTGAGTTTCAGGTGGAGACCGAAACTCATGTTGAAGATGGAGGCATATTCCACAATGCATATAGAGACTCCCCATACAGCATTGAAGTTACAGTAATTCCGTTTGATGGGACAGAGGTGAACATTGGCAATGGAATGAAACTGAGTACCGGAACTTTTACCGCACCCGTAGGTGGTACTTACGCTTTCCATTTCCATTGCTCGCAATATGCACTCCCTGCTGGCGTTGATTTGCGAAGAAACGGAGGATCTAAAGGAAAAATATACTCAATTAGTGTCAACCCGATTTCGGCAGGGCAATCCATTATACCTAATCGGAATAAGGGCAACATTGTGGATGCTTATTTATTTGACGGACAGGTTTACACAGGAATCAATCCTCGTATTCATTTTGTGGGGTAATTGCTATATCCTTTGTAGTACAACGAACGGGAAAAAGCCTTGATGCTTTGCTGCAGTGTGCAGGTGTTTTAGACAAGTACAGTTATGAGAAAAATCTAGCGGCTAATGGATGGCGTTCATTTACAAT